CCTGGAGATAGAACATGGTACCCAGAACATATACACATATGTCAACTGCATCGGTTATTGCTAAACTCCCTTTGCCATTTTACATATTGTATCGAACTCCAAATGCATGGTATTGATCTAACAGATGATTCCCTACATGTTCCAGTCAATCAGATATATATTCGGGATCGCAATTACATGCCACCTTCCAAAGGCTAGAGAATTATAAGATGTGGTGCAGAGATTTCTAGTAATAGTGTGCAGGGAAATAAAGAATAGATTCGAACTAATTAATAAGTTGTGGAGACTGGCGGCATATTTACACCCCAAAAGAGTCAGTAATCTTATAAACATGTTATGAGAGTTTTAAATGAAGAGAGAGATGCAAAATATGAATGTTTTGGACATTTGCAATGGAAGTGTTGTCACTTCTGACGTCCAATGTTGATGCAGAGCGTCCTTTTCTAAGGTGAATTTAATTAAGAAAACAGAGAAATAGCCTGCGTATACAAACTGTAAATCCTTAATGTCGTGATTTATTATTATTGTGGATATAACGTATTGTTACCACGTGTTGGCATTGAATCGGCTGTGGTGTTCCCATTATGTGATGGTGCTACAGTTGTTACCAGTCCTTTTCTTTTGATAAGCTTGAAGTCATATGTTAAACGGTGATATTTTTTTTCCAAAGAGTTGTTGTTGGGTAGTAGGTTGTAGGTAGCTATACTCTGGAACGGGATGGTAATATAGACAATAATTCATCATCTGTACCCGTCACAAACGGGGGTACCACAGGGCAGTATATTGGGCCTGCTGTTGTTTGTTTGTTTCATAAATGACATGCCTGACATTGTACACTCCTCCATACAAATGTTTGCCAATGACGCAAAGTTATTTCGGGAAATCAAGAACCAAGCGGACTGTAAAGAGCTGCAGAAGGATCACTGTGAGCTCTAATGGTCGAAGAAATGGCTACTGCAATTCCATGTCACGAATTGCAAGAGGATCCATCTGGGGTGTACCAATGGTAAGGAGGCGTATCATAATTTTATGTCCCAACTGGTTGAAGAAACTGCACTATTTGAGACTGAATGTGAGAAGGACCTAGGTGTGTATGTTGACAATGAGCTAAAGTTCTCGGGCCATTGCAAGACGACGGTAAATCAGGTAAATAAATTATTAGTCTAGCGTTTCCCCATCTGGAGTACTGCCCCCCCTTCGGTCTTCGAGATATGCTAGGAACTGTCAGTTGGGTGAAAATGTTCAAAGGAGGGCCCTTTTCAATTACGTATTTCTTCATGGTTCCTTATTATCATTGTTATTATTATAAATATTATTATTTTTATTATTATTATTTTTATTATTATTATTATTATTATTATTATTATTATTATTATTAATATTTTCTGTGTTCTTCTGGCTTAATAAACTTCCAATATCAATATAATGTCAATAAGAATTTAAAAAATTCTCGGAGCCAAATTTCAATAGAAGTAAATATTTCATGACTGCAAATAATATTTAAATTTTAGCATAGTTTTTTTAAGGTGATATTTGATACACTATGGTATATCACTGGTGTGCGTGTCCGAGCTAAGGCTAGCTACCCGTCCGCCCAGACCGAAACATTACGACACTGTCCGGGTGTTTTGAAACCATCGCTCACTGTGTGAGCGGCCTCCCTGTTCGAAAGGAACGCTCACAGCCCCGAACGCGCAGACCAAAGCTTTACGACACTATCCGGGTATTTAAAACACTTCACTCAAACACACAACACTCGCTATCACTGCCTCCCGTGCTGACGTCCCACCCACTGTGGGCGGGTGGCTGATTGACAACCTGCGCTCTCCCACGCTGAAACTCCCGGCGTTGGTGGCGCGTCCCATGGTCCTCTTGTCCTCATGGTAGTTGAGAATTCCCTTCGGCAGCCTTCCCGTATTGTCATGACTGTAAACGCCTTGGTTAAGGACGTTCAGGTGACGGGCAAGTCGAAGGGAATGATTGAAACTCGCCTTTTGACGCATTCACTATTTATTGATGTGATCAAAACCCGCAGAGAACAAGGCGTTCATTAGTATTACATGGTGATCTTTCTGATACATAATTCGTTAGTCTCAGACGATTTCTTCTTAATTACAATCGATTATTAAGCACAGTGACATGATACAAAGTTCATAACTCTATTAATCTTAGTTACATTTCATTCTGCATTGTCTTATTTCTGCAGATAAGGCAGAAACGAGTAGGCATAATTAGTCCACAATATTTCAGTACTGAGGGGTATGTCATCACTTTGGCTGTACTTACAAGTGCGGGTCAATGTGAACCAGTATGGTGTTCCAAGGGACAATAGTACTGTGTAAATTGTTCCAGCACAAAACTCGGCCAGGATTGGGATTTGGTGTTTACCACAGAGGGCTGGTGGCTGCATGGTCCTCATAGCAGTGGCTTCATGGTCCTCACAGCATCACGTGAGAAGGCGATCTGCCTCTTGGAGGCCGGGTGACCACGCCACACTTTAAACCTTACACTCAGCAGAATCAGGGCATCTTGTTTGTGCAGGTCGCTTGGGGGGGGGGGGCGCACGTGGTTCCAGGCTGATAGATTGAATGTTTGTTCGGGTAAGGCAACGCCAGCACTGTAGTTGAAGCCAGCGGCGATAATATATATATATATATATATATATATATATATATATATATATATATATATATATATATATATATATATATATATATATATATATATATATATATATATGTAATATTCAGAAATTTCAGAGTAATTTCAAACACTGCGCAATTGGCAATACTGAGCTTTCAAGGTCGTCGGAGGGAAGAGAGCGCTCCCTGCACATAGCGAGAGGTTGTGGAACTAGGCCTAAGTAATATTAAATGTAATTTGCCGAATTAATAATGATGCGATTCATGAAGTTAAGGGACTATTATTGAATTTTAAATTATTATAGATCGTTTATCAGTCTGAACAATGTCACGGGTGTACCAAGGAGTTATTAGTTAGGCGGAAAATATGTCACGTAGGCCTAAGCTAGCGCCTTGGAGAGACGCGACGCTGGCTGGTCCTCAGTCACGTGAAAGCGATTGGACCTACAGGACATCCCTGCGCGTCCGTCCACAGAAATAGTCACGTGGCCTAGTCACCTGTGTTGCACTATTGCAGTATAACAAGTAAGTCTCATTCGATCTCAGACAGGGTTAGATAGGGCAGTGGTAAAGTTAACAAGAGCTAACAGTGAGTTCATTTCAGGGTTTCCGTCAGAACCCACTTGACCCGAGTTTGACTGTGAGAGTGATGACTGCGAGAGATTGACTGCCGTTTGAGACTGCCGTTGATGATTGAGGGTGGCGATTGTCGCCATTGGACCGATCAGTGTAGGCCTGTCACTGTTTAGCGGGGTATCAAAGGATCTCTTGAGGGAATCTAGCCGTCTGGGTGCCCAGCTGACGACGGGACGATCGTTGGGGTCATCAGCTCTCCTCTACCTCGGCTCACAACACCACATGTCTCGAGCAGCTTAGTGAAACCCTCTTGCTAACGGGAAGCTAAAGCTTCTCTCAACTGTACAAGGTCTGATTGGCTCACTCCCTTCCGTTTCATGGATGTACTGGGGGTAAAGTGAGGCCAGCTGAGTGATACAGGGTCACACACTGGGGACAAGAGTCAGTGGAGTTAGAGGTACACTTTCCAAGGTGGTGAAAGGCTGATTTGGGCCTTCAACTACGGGTGCCTGTTGGTTGTGCCTTAAACGACTACGGAGTGCAGGTGGAATCTGTGTGTGTGTTAGGTTAGGGAGCATGGTTCACCGGTATTGGGCTCAGTAACGTCTTTATAATTGTGACAATATTTTTGTGTGTAGTTAATACTATTTTTTCAGTTACTAATGTATGCTGTGTGCATTTAAAATTTCTTTATAGTTTCAATCTCTGATATAACCTTTGTTGCCCAGAGTAGTGTTTAAGTTAGGTTAGGAGGTGTGCATCTGTTGGTGTAACATAATTATATTGAGTGCCCTTAAGGCCTATTCTTGTAGAGTATTTAATTTCTTAATTTTTAATACCATTTCCTCAGTGACTGATATTATTTTGTTGAAAACCCTTAAGGCCTGCATCTGTTGGTGTAACATAATTATATTGAGTGCCCTTTAGACCTATTCATGGTGGAATTAATAATTTCTTATTTTTATACCACTTCCGCAGTGGTGGATATTATTCTGTGAAAACCCTTAAGGCCTGTTTCATGTGTGCAAGCAACATTTCTTAATACTTTAAATTTATTGTTGCCTGAGTTTCTAATAATTTCAATATCATGTATAACTTTTATTCCCCAGAGTAGTGTTTTAAGTTCAAGTTAAGAGGTGCGCATATTGGTGTACCATTATTTGATTGTGTTTGTAGTGTTGGAGGGAATATAAGTGTAAATATGACAGTGTGTCTCATTCATCCCAGTCACAGACGCTATCCTTCCACGGGTCACGGACAAGTCATTTTGTTTAGTAGATTTAAGTGTTCTTGTGCTGGTTCGGGATTTTTCTCAAAGGGGCGCTTCCACTGCCATTACCATCTAATAATCTTTAATAAACCCCAATTCAAGTGGGAAATTAAAGTCCAGTAAATTCCGACCGGTTACATATATATATATATATATATATATATATATATATATATATATATATATATATATATATATATATATATATATATATATATATATATGTATATACACATTTGTTGACGAATACATGAACCTCATTTTACGTTAATCAGACTGACTCTTAGCCAGAATCCATTAGATTACATTATTCGGGAATTACTTTTCACTGGACTTCATTTCAATTTTATATTGAGTTTTATTCAGCTTAAAAATTATATGATTCGTCTATTCAGATAAACTTCTCGATAGAAAACCCATGAAGATGTCCCTGAAAATTTCAATTTAATTATATCTTCCAATACTTGTACAGGCATGCCATCCATTTTTTTCTTTTTTTGCTTCTACTTTAGATGAGCTGTACCGCGGGGTGAACAGCACTTTGAAACTTCTGCAACAGTATACAGTAAGAGCTATGTGCCAGTTCCTGCTTCATGCCTACCCTTTTGACTCCCAGAGATGTTCTCTGGTCTACTCCATTCCTGACCAAGCAATAGGCAAGATATTGCTTCTTCAGGTAGGTTGGTATTCAATTGTTGTAGAAATATATTCTTCGGGTTTGTGTATTATTTAGGAGATTTTGATATATGTATCAGCCAATTAAAAGTGTAAGATTATCTGTCTTTCAAATATAAGTTCTAGTATTTTTGTTTACAAAGAATTCAACTCATCATAAATAAGAATGACTAATATAGCCTTTGCCAATTTTGCATTGATATCTTTAAAAAGTAAACCTCATGAACATTCTTATCACACGCACACACACGCACACACACACACACACACACACTACTACTACTACTACTTTTTTTTTAAATGGCCTCCATCCTCCCCTTATAGCCATACCTTCGCCGCCATTTTGTTACCTTAAAATTAAATATCCTAATACATAAGTAGCTATCCTAGCTGTGTTGAGTTAGTTGAGCCGCAGATCTATGCGGCATTCAGTGACTTTTGCCTCATAGTCAACATCTGTAACTGTTGTCGGTCTTGGGGCCGATGCTCTCTTTCCCCTGAGGCATCGTTAAGCCAACCTAAGGAGAGAGAAGGATAGTCGACACCTCATCCAGGCTGTAACATGACTTCTGGGCTGCTGCTTCTGCTCGGATAAAACCTCCGCGAGTCTGGCGTAGAAGCATCTTGCACTTGGTCCCATCCCACCAGAGGTTTTGAACACTAGAGGAGTGAAGCTGCCTTGATCAACATTCTGAATTCTCTCCCCGTATGCCCTTATCTTGTCATTCTCGTTCCTCCTGTGTGTAGCATCGAGAGCTAAGTTATGGTGACATGTCAAAGAAGGCTTGCTGTCCCCACGTCCAGAATCCTCGAGCACTGACGTCAACCCGGTCTTCGTTGGATGTGTTTGAAGTCCTATTTTGGAAATTCTCACTTTGCAATGGAAGGAGGGTCGGTTCTACCCTGACATCACGGCAGATTTCCTTCACCAAATTTGCTGTGAGATCCCTTACTTCGTCGTGCCTCATGCACACCATGGCATGATCGACGTCATAGGAAGAGCCACATATGCATTGGGAGGGCAAACCTTCTACTGGCCTTCCGTACCTTAGAGCATTGGCATCTGTAAATTCTTGTTTATTGAGACTGAAACCATTTGCCCTTATCGGTAACGTAGTTAACCAATTCAAGACGCTGACCTCCTGCTCTATAGCTACTTTCTTTTTTTTCAAATTCTCTGGTACTTGCAGCAACAGTTGCTGCAACTTATCACTTTGGCTGTGCTGTCGTTCTGTCGTAATGGACCTTTAAATCTTGTTTACTTCACTGGTATCCACCTCCCCTGTTGCGTTCTGAGCTATTATGTGGTCCGTGAGGGCTGCCGTGAGCTTAACTAAGTTTTGATGTTCGGTGGCAGCAATCTCCTCTGGATTGGTCAGTCCCATTCCTCCCAGTCTCGGTGGTAATGCAAGGAGTGATCTTTCTGTTGGGGTTAAGTGAGGGTGTTTCACTAGTTTGAGAATGAAATTGACGCTGATAGCTTCCTCCAGAGGGTGGAGGAGGGTTCCGATATCAGGGATAGTTCGCATCAGGTAGTTCCAGCGATGCTTGACTCCATGGGTGAATGCCGCAAAAGCCGCATGTGGCTCTGTGTTAGCAATCTAAGACAGAGCTTGGATCTCCCTAACCCACTCATTCACCTTTCCCGTTATGTACTCGGTCTTGATGTCCGCCGTGCCAATTACTGCGCCTAGGTGTCTTTGGCAATCCTTTGTTATTTTGACGTCACTTCCACCGAACACCTCCATTGCCCGTCCATAATGTTCTGGCTTCACAATGAGGAAGGACTTGCTGGCGTTTGGGTGGTACCCTATTTGTGGGCCTCGTGATGTTACCAGGTCCCACCACTTTTTGATGTCCTCCACTTTTCCTGCTCCCGTAAGGTCATCAGCGAACGCCATTTGCTTGACCTCAGTTGTTTCAAATTTTATTGTGTGTTAGAGCACTGTTAGGCCTATTGCGTACATTGCCATTGCAACAGGGTCTATTACTACTACTATTACTACTACTACTACTATTTTCTGTCAGTCGCAATCGAGAATGATGATCATCCAGCTATGATACAATGATATGAGTTATTTAGTGTGTCCCTTTGTTGTTGACTCAAGAGGCTGAAACGGGACCGGCAGAGTGCTTGTTGACCCTATCAGGCATTTCAGTTAGCCCATGTAGGATCGACTAGCGAATGGCAAAGCCAACCACATGAATGCGTTTCTGTCCACAGCAGTTTTACCCTTCCAGAAGAAGGTATAGCCGGACCCCTGTTCTGTTAGTCATCCCTTATCTGGGAACTGGGTCACACTGATACCTATGTCAATGTTATATCTAGGCAGCTCTTTTGCCACAAGGGCGGTTCTTCTTTCAGGAAACACATTCGTGCTAGTATCCAAAACGTCCTGACATTTCATGCAACGGCCATAAGAGGTTGTATAATTTGTTTTTGCCTTGATATGTGCTTATTTTTTCGACTCCATTGGGATGACCGTACTAGGTGCGGTTGCCAAGTCTGATTTTTGGGGGACAGGCTATGTTTAGGGCAACTTTTCTACCCCCTCCCTGTATGTGGGATGAGCAGAGTGACTCCTGGAAAGGACTGCTGAGTCGCACAGACAAGGCCGGATTGCACTGCTGCCTATGTGCAGATTATGTCTAGTGATTTCCTGCAGTCATCTCTGCCTGTCCTCGTCGTCACTCGTTTGATATCATAGGACTTTTGGGGGCTTAAGGGTTCTGATAATGATTGAATGTATGATGAGCTAAATGAAGGCTATGCATGATTTGACTTATGTGGTGATGCAGGTGTACAAGTGCAACCACACATCTTGGCTTTTTTCTGATCCAGTGGTGCAGGTAGCTGCAACTACAGAGGAGAGGGAAGAGTTGCAATGGATTTCCAATTGCCCACTTTATTGATTTTCGCCTTTGTCACATGTCCACCTTGCATTGCCTTCATCCGCCGTTGTAGTCGGTGAGTTCCCGTGTTTGTCACCTCTTCCGCCTATTCTTGCGTTGGGGTCTTACTGGAGCTCTGTAAGCATGCCTGCCTAATGTGGAGCTTCAGTGTAGATTTTTCGTTCTGGGTTTACTCCTGTTACCTTATACCTACCGAGATCAGTCAGCAAGGCCACGGGACAGTGGTTGGTAGGTGCCAGGGCATGTCCGCATATCGATAGACACACTGCTGCTACGAGAGCCCTTGTTGTTTAGTCTGGGGCCGCGAGGCACCCAGTTACTGTGTGCTGGCACAAGTAGGCCCAAAAGGAGTCTTGATGGTGAAGAGGCTGTGTGCTGGCAGGGGAAGACTTACGCAAGGTTGCTTTCCCGTTCACCCCGGGGGATAGCCAGCAGCGGAAGTTGAAAGCGAAAGGAAACAAGCAGTGCCTGCACCTTAACACCAAAATACACACACACACAAACACACACACACACGTGATTATTATTATTATTATTATTATTATTATTATTATTATTATCATTATTATTATTATTACTAATATTACACACACTCCCATACACAATAAAATATAACATTATGAATTTTGTATGATTACTTTTTCCATATAATGCCATTTTCTTCAGCGCCACACCTCATACTCAACCACCACCTTCGTTTACTATCATCATAATAGAAAATCTTGATCTTCAGAATAGCTGATTTCGTGCTATCACTCATTACAGGAGGAGGTGAAGTTCACAGGAGAGCGCCGGCTGCTGGAGTACGAGCTGGTCAACGAGACTCTCACCGCCCATGGTAACATGTCTGCCGCCGTCCAGGTAGATATTATTTTCACCTGCGATTGTTTTCCAAGTGACGGATTGCTGTTTCATATGACAGAACAGAACACACACAAACACACACACACAAATTGGGAAATCCAGGTCTTCATTTATAACAAACATGCTGGTGTCATTGACTAAAAAACAACCTTCTTTCTCAGACAAAAATTGCCTCTTTGTGCCAGTAGAAGGCAATGGCCCAGTGCAAAATTCTTGAATTGAAGAGTAAGGGGTACACATTAAAAGGACGACGTAAACATAAAAGTTTGCAGATCAACACCAGAAGCTAGAATTTTTCATTTCCACCAAAATTATTTTTGGCTCTACTACCAACGGTACCGACTTTCTTCGCTCATCTGTTGGTAACACCCTAATTAATGATAATATGGTATCTTTCAGCGCTGGAAAGAGCACTGTTATTTTCTAATGAACCAAAAGAGCAAAAAGAGCTTGTCCACTTCGATACCCTCCATCAATGAGATGGAGACAAGTGGACCTAATGGAATTCCAACTGAGATATATTAGATAATTATGAACACCCCTCCGACCACTCCCTCCCGCTCTCCATGGAAAATACTGTACAGAACAGGAGAAAATCTCCACGATTTTAAGGCCAGTATCGTATAATATATATATATATATATATATATATATATATATATATATATATATATATATATATATATATATATATATATATATATATATATATATATATATATATATATATATATATATATATATAAATATATATATATACACATATATATATACACATATATACATATATATATACATATATATACATATATACATATATATACATATATATACATATATATACATATATATATACATATACATACATATACAGTATATATACATATATATATACATATATATATATATATATATATATATATATATATATATATATATATATATATATATATATATATATATATATATATATATATATATATATATATATATATATATATATATATATATATATATATATATAAAACAAAGTATGTGTGTTTGTGGGTCCGCACGAGAATCTCGGAACCTAGTGATGATGGATGGTGTTATATGTAGTGATGATGATGGATGGTGTTATATGTACTGATGATGATGGATGGTGTTATATGTAGTGATGATGGATGATGATGTTATATATAATGATGACGGATGTTGTTATATGTAGTGATGATGGATGGTGTTATAGGTAGTGATGATGGATGATGTTATATGTAGTGATGATGGATGTTGTTATATGTAGTGATGATTGGTGGTGTTATATATAGTGATGATGAATGGTGTTATATGCAGTTTAATGCTAAAAAAAATATACTTTGCTGTACCGTTGTACTGGAACTTATATACACCGTTAATGAAATATTGATGGAAGAAGTTTTGGGGAGTGAACAGTGAGACAATGTGGAGCTTCCCGGAGGGTGGCGTCCTTCTGTGGCCTAGCGAATGAGACGCCCGGACCAAACTTGGCATAGATAGCAAGTGTTTTGATGCTTCTCTCATGGACAGTTCTATGTTGGATGCTCCAGAGTGGGAACTGGCAAAAATCTGTACATACTTGCTGCTAATGGCAAAACCAAAAATGTGGTCTACCTTAATTCACTACAGTGAGACAATATGGAGCCTCCCGGTGGGTGGCGTCCTACCGAGTGTGTCCACACGAGAATCTCGGTAACTACTTTACCGATCTGTAGTGATGCCTGAACATTACTAAGAAATCTTTTTATAGAACTGATCCCAAGCCCACCCATGACCATAAGAATCTCTTAGTATTACCATTTCACAAAAATTTCTCTCAAATTCCTTTACAACTAAAAACCTGTAACGTCAATGTGGCATTTAAAAACTTATGCACTGTTAAACAAATGTTAATCAAGAACTCCCCCAACAACACAATTGGTTGCATTTATAAAGTTCCTTGCAAGGAATGTAATATGTTTTACTTAGGCCAGACAGGTAAAGATCTTGTAACTAGACTTAAACAACAAAAATATAGTGTTAGGACAGGCCGAAGATCAATGCTCTGTTTACATTCATTTGAGGATAACAAAGCATTGGCAAAATTCAGGATAATGCCTCCTCAATAATACCATGTAATACAATTGACAATGGAACATCATAGAATCTAGTCTCATTAAACATGCGAAGCATTCAACATACATACATATACATACATACATATATATATATATATATATATATATATATATATATATATATATATATATATATATATATATATATATATATATATATATATATATATATATATATATATATATATATATATATATATATATATATATATATATATATATATATGTATGTAACCGGTCGGAATTACTGGACTTTAATTTCTCACTTGACTTGGGGTTTATTAAAGATTATTAGATGGAAATTGCAGTGGAAGCGCCCCTTAGTGAGAAATCCCGAACCAGCACAAGAGCACTTAACTTTACTAAACAAAATGAATTGTCCGTGACCCGTGGAAGGATAGCGTCTGTGACTGGGATGAATGAGACACACTGTAAAATTTACACTTATATTCCTTCCAACACTACAAACACAATCAAATAGTGGTACACCAATATGCTCACTTCTTAACCTGAACTTAAAATGCTACTCTGGGGAATAAAAGTTATACATGATGTTGAAATTATTAGAACCTCAGGCAATGTCTCATTAGAGGATAATAAGTTTAAAGTATTAAGAGATGTTGGTTGCACACATGAACCAGGCCTTAAGGGCTTTCAACAAAATATCAATCACTGAGGAAATGGTATTAAAAAAATAAGAACTTAATAACTCTACCATGAATAGGCCTTAAGGGCATTCACCAAAGTTATATCCAGCACTGAGAAAATGGGATAAAAATCAGAGCTTTTTAACTCCACCCTGAATACGCCTTCAGGGCACTCAACAAAATTATATTACCCCAACAGATACACACCTCCTAACCTAACTTAAACACTACTCTGGGGAACAAAGGTTATATCTGAGATGGAGATTATAAAGAAATATTAAATGCACACAGCATACATTAGCAACTGAAAAAATAGTATTAACTACACACAAAATATTGTCACTATTATTAAGAAGTTACTGAGTCCACCAATACCCTTGAACCATGCTTCCTATCCTAACACACACACAGATTCCACCTGCACTCCGTAGTCGTTTAAGGCACAACCAACAGGCACCCGTAGTTTAAGGCCCAAATCAGCCTTTCTCCACCTTGGAAAGTGTACCTCTAGACTCCACTGACTCTTGGCCCCAGTGTCCGGCCCTGTATCACTCAGCTGGCTTCACTTTACCCCCAGTACATGCATGAAGCGGAAGGGAGTGAGCCAATCAGACCTTGTACAGTTGAGAGAAGCTTTAGCTTCCCGTTAGCAAGAGGGTTTCACTAAGCTGCTTGAGACATGTGGTATTGTGAGCCGAGGTAGAGGAGAGCTGATCACCCCAACGATCGTCCCGTCGTCAGCTGGGCACCCAGACGGCTAGATTCCCTCCAGAGATCCTTTGATACCCCGCTAAACAGTGACAGGCCTACACTGATCGGTCCAATGGCGACAATCGCCACCCTCAATCATCAACGGCAGTCTCAAACGGCAGTCAATCTCTCGCAGTCATCACTCTCACAGTCAATTTCTCGCAGTCAAGTGGGTTCTGACGGAAACCCTGAAATGAACTCACTGTTAGCTCTTGTTAACTTTCCCACTGCCCTATCTAAGCCCTGTCTGAGATCGAATGAGACTTACTTGTTATACTGCAATAGCGCAACACAGGTGACTAGACCACGTGACTATTTCTGTGGACGGACGCGCAGGGATGTCCTGTAGGTCTAATCGCTTTCACGTGACTGAGGACCAGCCAGCGTCGCGTCTCTCCAAGGCGCTAGCTTAGGCCTAGTGACATATTTTCTGCTTAACTAATAACTTTCTCGGGACACCCTAACATTATTCAGACTGGTAAACAATCTAAAATAATTTCAAATTCAATAATAGTCCCTTAACTTCATGAATCGCGTCATTATTAATTCGGCAAATTACATTTAATCTCATATAGGCCTAGTTCCACAACCTCTTGCTATGTGCTAGCGGGGAGCGCTCTCTTCCCTCAGACGACCTTGAAAACTCAGTATCGCCAATGGCGCGGCGTTTGAAATTACTCTGAAATTTCTGAATATTACACACATATATATATATATATATATATATATATATATATATATATATATATATATATATATATATATATATATATATATATATATATATATACAGTATATATATATTGTATGTAAATAAGAAAAATGGGAGACAAATCTTACTACGACAACTACCTCAACAACTCAGGGCTGTCAGAAACCGGTTTCCCCACAGTCGTCAACCAGAGTGCCATAGTGCGTCAAATGCAGAATTTGTTATAATGTGCTATCATATCATAATCTTCTTTGGCGAATTTCTTCTCAATGCATTTTCCTCCATTCTCCATGACTTTCCAAGGATGTTCCTTACCCTTAATGCTATGCTGTCATAATTCGAATTACTATTCGTTTAACTGATATATAATTTACCATGTAACTGCTCGAACATTAATTGTTCTATTGATTCTTCTCCTAGGGTTCATTTGTCTATTGTGGTAACAGTTGGTTTACTTGTCAACAGCTGCGGTTGGTGTTCCAGAACCAATATGGTTATTACATCGGCAACGCTGTGGTGCCCAGCTTGCTCATGGCCACCATCTGTTACCTCACCTTCTTCTTCGACCTCGACGACTTTACGGTGTAGTACAATCTTGTTTTTGGTGTACAGATACACAGATACACATACACACGAATTAATTTTTATTAATTTTCAAAAATAATTACAACAATTTTTTTCCCTATTTAGCAAAAAAGAGTTTTTAACGCCCATTCTTCAATTATCCCTCTGTCATAAACGTTACAGAATGAAATCCAGCGTAAGCCTGTCTATTTCATACTACCTCAAATTATCCATATGTCCGTATGTCTGTTACTTATTAAAGATTTACTTTATCACAGGATCGCATAATGGTCTCACTGACGTCCCTACTGGTGCTGGCGGCGCTCTTCACACAGACCAGTCAGTCCATCCCTAAGACCGCCTACCTCAAGCTTATCGACATTTGGTACGTCACCCTCATCATCACCGACTTCCTCATCATCGTAATGCTTGTGCTCATCGAGAACAAGAGGATGCAGGAAAAACTCTCTCGACATTCGTCTAGATCTCTCTTCAGGAGTACACATAAGATCACTCCTGTCGAGTCTGCTGGACAGCTCACGTCCGGAAATGAGTTCGAGGACAAAATGAATGGATCAAGTACAGCCAGGAAAATGAACACAATATCTAAGTGTTTGTTTCCGATGTTGGCAACAATAGGATGTTTCTGCTGGATACTGATACACCTCCAGACGTCCCCGACCTCTCATGGCATTTAGTGCAATATCGACCACACACTTGAATTAATTTGAAGTAGACAGATAATCAATCACTAAAGTTTGATCAAAGAGAATGTTATGGTACGATGAAAGCGATAATAAATAATTCATGAACTGCCATGCCAAATTCTTAATATTTTTGGTAACGGTGCTTAAGACTTAAACTTAACTTGTGATTAGAATAATGGTGTCTGTCTTTC